GGACCGCCGGAGCGCCTGTCTGCCGTCCTGCCGCCTCGCCTCCGCGCGCCTGCCGGCCTTGCTTGCTTCCTTCCTTCCTTCCCGCCCTCTTTCTCTTTCTGTTTCCGCACACCGTCCTCCCTCGGCCGGCCTTTCCGCGCCCCGGGGACACCCCCCCCAGACCTTTTGTTGCCGGTCGGTGCAGGAAGGGACGCCTCACCCCAGTCTTGTTGCAGGGATGCTGCGCAGGCAGCCCATCCTTCACAGCGAGTGGGAACCCCATCAGTTGGGGAATGGGTTCCAAAACCCCCGCGGATAATGGAAAATGCGGGTGATAGTGAACACCACACATAGCATGGTCTTTGGCTCCCTCTAACGGCCCGTTCTGGCAACGTCCCATTAAGAAACATATTTCTAGGATTTGTCTTTTAATATTTTCAAAAGCCTGGGCAAGTGAATCAGCGGATATTGATCCCGCAGATATGGGGACCCTAATGTAATAGGTTCCGGGGCATTCATACCTTGTTGCCACTGCTCCCCCCCCAGCAGTATCTGCTGGCAGAAGATATTTGTAGTGTTGGCCAAGGGTGGGAGCGCTCATCACCCCCTCCCGAGGTCATACATCCTGTTGTTGTACTACTTTAACAGTTAGCAAGATTTTCCTGTTATTCAGCTGAAATCTGACTTCCTACCACTTGAGCCCATTCAGTGTTTTTTTTTTAAAGTGTGCTACTTGTTCCATTTAAATATATATATTTCTATATTTACTGTTTTTCACTTTCTAAACATTCTGTTTTTTGAGGACGTAAGCCACCTTAGGCCCATTTTTTAAAAGGAGAAAGGCAGATTACCAAAGATTTTAAATAAAGACAGAATGAATAAGCAAATTTGTTTATTTCAAATATTTCTATGCCGTTCTTCTCCCCAAAAGGACCCAAAGGCGGCTTATGCCACTGAAACCGTGTTTAAAAGCTAAAAAGAGTAAATATGCCAATATGAACAAAGAATTGGACAAGGACTATCTTAAAATGGTCATTATTATTTTGATTATTAAGAGGCTAAACCTTTTCCTTTTCGGCAGCTGCTGTTGCTTGTTCCTCTCGTCTCAGAAGGCAGAGGAAAACGAGAGCCAAGCGAGGACTGAGATAACTGGACTGAGATAACCAAAACCCATCGCCCCCGCCAAATAAAAAGCCAGGTGCAAAACCAGGTGGGCAGCCCGAGTGAGTCACACAGCCTTGGCACTTTCAGTGGGATGATGATGGGTAGAAGCACCCACAAAATTGGGAGGGAGCCCCCCCCCACGGGCCCACCACCTCCCCATTCCCACTAATTAGTCAGCGTTTACTGACACACCATAATCTCACCCCCATTCAGCCTCGAAGAACAGGACGAACCCACGGGCGGTGGGTGTTAACAGCACAGCCTGTCAACTAATTCAGATTTGAGTTTGGTGATCACAGTATGGCTTCATGTACAGTGGGGTTCTGCACGCATCCGCAGGATTCTGTATCCGCTGATTTATTTAGCCTCTGGCTGAAATTAAGAAATAACTCCACCCCACCCCCCAAATACTGATTTATTGTATATGTATTTCCATGGTGTGTTTACTAGAAATGGCCACTAAAGGGAGCCAGAGACCATGCATAGTGTTTGCTGTTATCCACATTTTTCAGCATCCGCAGGGGGGTTGGAGCTGATTCCCC